TTAATTTCTTTCTTAAAAATTAATTTCTCTCTTTTACCTCCATATAATATAAATAATATACAAATACTAAGCTCTATATCCGATCACACTTTGTACGTAATATAATTTTACGTACATTAATTAATATGTTAAGCTAGCACGATTAAATAGATTTAAACAAAACATTTGTTAAATGTTGTAATGAGACTATAATACAAATAATCACATTGATTGCTGAGACACTCGGGTAACATGACACAATAAATTTTCAATTATAACAAAACTTTATTACGAATGGTTTCATTTTTTGCGAATCTGACGAATTGCACTCAAAAAATGAATGATTACGATATAACCATTCAGGAAAAAGTACGATGGCTCTTCGTGCGAGCTCTCACGAGAGAAGTAGAAGACGTCAGCCTTGCACAGAAGTTATAACTGTACTGAACACCACGCTCAGAATCTTTCCTCAGGCACAAGTGCACTCGGTGATAATGACCTCCACGAAAATTACGGGGGCATCGTCTCCGCGACTTGAAGTCCCGCATGCATTTTTATCAGATGACATTTTTCCTCTTTTATAACTTGTGTTACACTAATGAATAAACTACAAATCTCTTAATTTCAAACATTTTCAGATTGTATGGTAATTTATATAAATACTAATCTGATATATATCAAATAAATAAATATATATGTGTATGTATATAGTATTATTTATTTATTTATTAACATATTATATGTACAATATTTTAGGTATAAAAGATTCAGACGATTAATAAATCAACTATCAAAGAAGTAAAGAGTTACAATTGTTAGCGTTAAAATATTGTATTTACAACAAGACCAAAACTATAATACATACAACATACGATTCGATCTGTTATCAGACCACCTTTAGTATAAATGATAATGTCAAGGATTAAATGGTCAAGGATTAAAAATTAACAGTAAAATATAAATTACAAATATACTATTTTATATAAAATATAAAAAAATTTAATAATGTTATAAGTATTAAATATAATATATATATATATAATAAATCTTATTGTCATCTTGAAGTTTGAATGAAAATACTTTAAGCTATATGTTATATCGCAACTCACAAAAAGCGTTTTATAAATAAGATTCTTTCGAATTTCATTGATTGTATCCATAATGATTATTGACGTTATTCATCAAATCTCTCTCTCTCTCTCTCTCTCTCTCTCTCTCTCTCTCTCGTGAGTACAGCGTGCACGTCTGTTGTGTTGCTCTCGTTTTTGTTCGACATATCTCTGCTGTTGGCTGCCTTCGGGCTCTTTTGTTGCAGGTGTGAGCATGTTCCCTGGTAACCAGTTTGCTAGTTCAGATGCGTCCCGAAGAAGTGCGCAAGAAATCAGTCCAGAATTGCGACAAAAGTGCATAATATCTGTGATTGAACAAGTACTTACTGTACTATTGCAGTAGTCTGCTGTAAGAAGCTACTGTGAAATTTTATACTATTTGTTAAAAGTAAACATGTAGCAGAAATGTGAAAACAATATGGAAGTATCTTTTGAGTACAGATCCAACCGGCAGAAACGTGAAAAGAACGTGCAAGCATCTGCCCGTGAGAAA